AGCGTTCTGTTGATCTTTTTCGCAAAGCCATTTCCAGAATTGGTGAGGCATGGCCAGGCGCCAAACTTAAGGTTGTTACTAAGGAGCAAATCCCTAGTCGACCAAGAGCGCGTTCCTGGATACCAGCCCATCAGTCCGATCCTCAGCGGATTCTGGAACTTATTCGGCTAGGAAACCGGCAGTTAAACACATCAACGTGGAAGATTACCAAGCTGGAGGAAGTCAAGGGTAAATATAGGTCGGTCAGTTTTGTGATTGACAAAGCATCCTTGGCCACTTTGGCGAAATCAAACGGTGTTATTAACTACGGTTTCTCAGCCATCACAATGAGGGTATATAAAAAGGACGAGGAGCAATCCTTACCTAACGACACAGGTCCAGCAGCACCGCAAGGCACTGTTGATACCATAATGGAAGCGGGTGATATTGTAACTGCTACCGCAAACTCAGTGGGCCCAGTAGAAATACTGCCTACCACTTCTGATTCAATAAATATGGACGTGACTATGTCCTCTCCAGCTCCTTCAATTACATCTGAAGAGAGTATTGGTACGCGCTATCTTTTTAACGAAGAAGAACTTTTGAACTCTGAAAATGAATCTGAAGAAGATAGCGCGCTTGACGTTACAGTGGTGGACACTACCACATCCAAAACAAATCATGATGCGGGTACTACAAATTAACCTGCACCACTGCAAGGCTGATATGGTCCTGGTGCAAGAGCCATGGGTTTTCAAGGATCTTGTATGCGGACTCAGGACTAAAAACTTTGACTTAAACTTTGACGGTAAACAAGGGTAAGCCTAGATCCTGCATATTAATAAATAAAATATATAACGCTCTCATGCTTTCGCAGTATAGTGACAAAGACCTAACCGCAGTAAGTATTGAGGGACCTTGGGGCCAGATATGGGCGGTATCTGCATATATGGCTCATGATCACGAAGAGTTACCATCAAGTAGCCTAAAACAGCTGACAATTGACGCTAGGAGACTTGGTGCAGATATCATTTTGGGTTGCGACGCAAATGCGCACCATGAAATATGGGGCAGCTCAAACACGAATGAACGTGGTGAGTTACTTTTCGATTTTATTTTTAGTAATAATCTTTTTATATGTAATGACGGTAATAGGCCGACTTTTGTTACCAAAAACAGGCAGGAGGTTTTAGACATTACCGTGACTACTGCCAAAATTCATGGGTCTATAAGAAAATGGAAAGTGTCCACTAGACACTCTTTTTCAGACCATATGATTTTAGAATTTTCTATAAACTTAAAGAAATCAAGTACCCCCAGTTTAGAAACTTTCAGAAATGTCAGGAATACAAACTGGACAAAGTACAAATCATCTATAAATGAGCTGTTGACAAACACTACTCTTTATCCGCCAGAGAATATAAATGATCTGGACGAGCAGGTAGGAGATCTTACCTCAATACTTAATGAAGCTTTTAACCTTGCCTGTCCTTCAACTCGACCTAGTAGGAAGAGTAACCCACCCTGGTGGAATAGAAACCTAGGTCAATTGAGGAAAGAATGCAGGAGACTTTTTAATAGGGCAAAGCTAAATAGAAATGAGAGTGACTGGTCTGAATATAAGATCTCTCTGCAGAATTATAAGAAAGAACTACGTAAGTCTAAGAGGATTAGTTGGCAATCATATTGTCAAGAGATTAGTAGGGACTCTGAAACCTCTAGACTACGCAAAATCCTGTCTAAAAATCCTTCTGTTCCTGAGTTGCTAAGAAAACCGGATGGGACTTGGTCAAATAACAGTAGGGAGTCACTAGATTTATTACTAGATACCCACTTTCCAGAATCCTTTGCTTCGACGGAATCCTCAGAATGTTTAAACTACGCACCGGTAAACTCTATCAAGTTAAACCTACAAACTCTAAAATGGGCCATTTTTAGCTTTAAGCCATATAAATCACCAGGACCGGATGGTATTCATCCTATTGAGCTGCAAAACTCTTGGGATCAAATACAAAACTGGCTTCTGACCATTTTTAAATATTGTCTCATTTTTAATTATGTTCCAACTCAATGGAGAACGGTTAGAGTTGTTTTTATTCCGAGGGCGGGTAAAACCTCTCATAGTAACCCTAATGAACTCCGTCCAATTAGTCTTTCATCTTTCATGCTGAAAGCTTTAGAAAGAATTATAGACTTTGAAATAAGGCGCGTTATAGATCCCAATCTTTGGTCACCGTCACAACACGCCTACACTAAGGGTAAATCCACAGAGACAGCACTCCATGCCCTTACCTGTACTATTGAAAAAACTCTTAAAGTAAAAGAATTTTGTATAGTGGCTTTCGTAGATATTGAAGGAGCTTTTAACAATATTCTTCCCAATGCAATAGCTAACGCACTCTCGCGTCTGGGTGTTGAGGATGCGCTCATCAGCTTTATCGGTCAGCTACTAACTGGCAGAATTATTGAAGCACAAATGGGTGTATCAGCAACACACAGACGGGTAAATAGAGGTACCCCCCAAGGGGGCGTACTCTCTCCTCTCCTCTGGAATATAGCGGTGAATGAACTGTTACAAAAACTGGGGAGAGCGGGATGCGGGACAGTTGCATATGCGGATGACATTGCACTAACAGTTACTGGAAAATATGCTACTAGTTTAAGGGATATTTTGCAGTATGGCCTGAATATTCTTAACAATTGGACACTGACATGTGGTCTCGGGGTTAACCCCAGAAAAACAGAAATCGTAGTATTTACCAGAAAACATAGGGTTCCAAATCTTTCTCCACTCTATATTAAAGGTTCTGCGATACAATATATTGAGAAAGCAAAATTTTTAGGCATTGTTTTCGATAGGAAACTGAGCTGGAAAGAAAATGTTTTGGAGCGGGCTAGGAAAGCAAACATTGCTCTGCTCCTTTGTCAAAAAGCTATTGGTAAAAGGTGGGGTTTGCAACCACGTATCGCTCAATGGCTATACACTGCTGTCATTAGACCAATACTTCTGTATGGCATTGCCATATGGTGGACAGCTCTTGATAAATCTTCGTACTGTACGGTACTGAACAGGGTTCAGCGCAGGGCTGAACTCTGTATAAGTGGTGCTCTGTGTACAACACCATCTATAGAACTAGATCTAATGCTCCATTTAATGCCACTTGACATCATCAGTAAGCAGTTGGCAGCATCATCTGCCCTAAGACTTAAGGCTACTTCACAATGGAAGGCTAGTGACTATGGGCACGGCTCGATTCCGAATATTTTCAGTCCTACTCCAAATAACATTGACTACACCTCTCCGATTCTCGACTTTGATAGAAAATTTATTGTTAGATTCTCATCCAGGGAAGCTTGGTTGTCAGGAGGTCCCTCCCTGGGTGAGGGTCTGCAAATTTTTACTGATGGTTCAAAGACTGGGAGCGGAGTAGGCAGTGGAGTTTTCTCAGAGGGGCTGAATATATCCTCCTGCTATAGGCTTCCGGATCACTGTAGTGTTTTTCAGGCAGAAGTAATTGCCATTAAGGAAGCTTTAGCTTGTCTAGAAGTAGGTAATATACTTGAAAGGAATATATGTATACTATCGGATAGTCAAACTGCTTTAAAGTCCTTGAGTTCTGTCCAATTCACATCTAGGACGGTCCTTGACTGCTACACATCTCTAAATGAGATGTCGACGCAGTTCAATATTCCTCTAATCTGGGTTCCCGGTCATAGGGATATTTACGGCAATTGTAAAGCAGACGAGCTAGCCAGACGTGGTGCTTCAGGGAACCACTCGGAACACCTAAACAATCTGGGCATATCGTTGACTTCATGCAAATTGATTTTGAGTTCTTCCTGTGCCGAACTTTTTAATAAAAGATGGGAAGACTCTGCGATATGCAGGCATCTGTATGCAATGTGGCCACAGACCAACAATAGAAAATCGAAATCTCTTTTAGAGTTATCCCGTAGAGATATCAGTCTTGTAGTGGGTGTACTAACAGGTCATTGTATTCTAGGTAATCATGCTAGGAGACTGAATCTACCGTTCAACCATTTTTGCCGCAGTTGTGGTGAGGATGACGAAAGTGCCTCTCACCTGCTTTCTTCGTGTCCGGCACATGCACGGCGTCGCCTTAAATTTTTGGGGGCTTTCTTTTTTGAGGATCTTGACGAACTTCGAGAACTCCCTCTATGTAGCATTGTAAGCTTTGTTAAAGGTTCTGGATGGTTTTAGCCCGTGGGTTCTAAATAATACGGTATCACAATGGGCCTATGGGCCTAAGTGGATCCCCCTGGGATCGCCGGTTTAACCTAACCTACAGGGGGTAAAATAAATTTCTAGGTTTCACTGCCAAATCCCACTCTTGATAAATAAATGTAATATAAAAAGAAATAATTTTAATACAAGAAAATAGTGATGCTGACACCGCAAAAGAGATGGTGATACCGGAAAACGTCAAAATCAAAAAAAAAAAAAAATTGAAAAAAATTTAAGGTTCGTTGTGGAAACCTGATTTATAACAAAATTGAAGTAAAGTTGAAAAGTAGAACCATCGTGCAAATGCATATAAGATGCTAGATATTTTTTCAGAATAGATGGCAACAGTATTACTAGAAGACTTTTGCATAATAGAAAAAGTATAACATCACTAAATAGATGAAAAAAAATATTCATAGTTGGAACATTAGAAGAAGCAATTGAATAAATAATCTCGTATGGATCTTTAATGTCATAGGTTTATGAAATATAATTCACTGCAAGTTGTAATTCTTGTATTGATGGTAACGATTAACAATATCATGAAATATAATCGTAGACTTGTGACCAACGCTAAAGCAAATGAAATCATTTTATTTCACGAAATAAATTTATTTATAATTTATTATTTATAGTCTTAATTGAATTCACAATAATCAAGTAAAAACAACTTTATTGATAAATTTCCATTTAGAATCTTTTATATAGTTTTATATAGTTTACTTAGTTATTCAAAACATATAATGTATATATAAATCAACCGAAATTGGTTTCACTTGACTTTATTGCACTTCTTAAGTCTTTAAATTATCATAACAAATATAACAAGGCAAAGAAATAATCCTGCACCGAGCACAAATGCTAAAATATCTCTCTCTGTAACATTATTATTGATCCATCTATACGTTTTGTGGAGAATATTTTCATGTTCAGCTGAACATTGTGATTGATCATTATTTGCATAAGTATTATGTAAAGGACATTCCTCTTGAGATATTGAGCTATAATTTGTCTGATGATATCCCACTAATATCGGAATTGAAGAACTATTTATTTCTATCGTATTATTATCGTCTTCAACATTTAATAGAATGGGATGGTCAGATGAGTACAAACTATCACAACTGAATTCGTTTGGAGGATCTGATATGATTTCTACCATAGCTGTAACCTGTTCTTGGCTTTGAGAAAATGGAGTCTTCATACAAAATTTACATTTATTTATTTCACCAGAATCATTTATTATCTCTTTTGTTATCTCGATATGATCCAAGCAACAGAAGTCACACATACTCAGCGGAAATGTATCAGTAAAATTAATTTGATTCGAGTTTCTAAATGAATGTGTTCGTGTTATTTCTATTAAATCTGAAGACATATTATTTTCATCGGTATCATATACTGTTATTTTGACTGGGATTTTGTTGCCATGTGTGTTTCGTACATCTTCTTCCTTTCGTTTATTTTTGAGACACATTTCTTCTAATCCTACATTATCTTTGTTAACATTATTGTTGTCAAAAAAAGGTATACCCATGGCACTGTGAAAGGAATCTTTTGATGTGGAAGTTTTTGCTCCCATATTTTGTATCGAATAAATAGATTTTTCAGTACTAGTATGTTCACATGGATCAAAAAAAGCTGATGAATCCTTAGAAGTGAAAGCTTTTGCTTCCACATTTTGTGTACAACAAAGTGATCTTTTAGTACTCGTATGTGTGCATGGATCAGGATAAGATGACGAATCCTTTGATGTGGAAGCTTTTGCACATATATTTTGTGTAGAATAAAGTGATTTTTTAGTACTCGTATGTGTACATGGATCAAGATAAGATGATGAATCCTTTGATGTGGAAGCTTTTGTGCCCATATTTTGTGTAGAATAAAGTGATTTTTTAGAATTTGTATATTTACATCTGTCAAAGAAAGTTAAAGAATCTTTTGAAGTGGAAGCTTTTGCTTTCACATTTTGTGTAGAATGAAATGATTTTCCAGTAGTTGTATGTTCACATGGATTAGAGAAAGCTGATGAATCTTTTGAAGCGGAAGTTTTTGGTTCCACATTTTGTGTAGAATAAAGTGATATTTCAGTATTCGTGTGTTCACATGGATCAAGGAAAGATGATGAATCACAATTAAAAAATATTCTGTCTGAATTCTGTTTGGATGTAAATTCATTTTGAGGATCAAGAGAAGACAACGAATTACAACTAAGAAATATTCTGTCTAAACCAGAAATGGATGTGAACTCATCTTGAGAAGGTATGGTATTTAGTAGATTTGTTGAACATTGAGAGCTTTGTGAATCATTTTCTGTTGGTTTCTTATTGAGTGATTGGGATGATTCCTTTTTATTTTTTTGAATTATACTATTTTCTCTTTTCAAGTTAGTACTATCATTATTGTTTTTAGGTGTGAGTTCCTTTTGTGTAGTATCAATTTTTTCATCACTTTTTCTATCTATCAAGTCAAAAAAGTCTATATTATGTGAAAAAGTAAATAAAATTATTAAAATATCATAACTAATGCATAATTTACTTATAGAAAATTTTTTTTTATATTTTATTAACAACTAAATATTACTCAAAATTTTTGTTTCCTCTCGAGTTTTAGTTTCAGATGAACTGCTGGAATCGCATTCGCTAAGATAAAATTTTTCCTTATCAACTTCAGTTGTAACGTCCTTAACGCTGGTATCCTTGTTTTTGGATATCAAGGTTTTAGTGTTGGCATCAATTATTGGCTTTTCAGAGTGAACATTTTCGGTGTTCTGGTTTTTTGGTCGCTTTGAATTATTGGGTTTGTCACTTGTTTTAGAAACAATAAAAGTAGGTTTCCATTTAATACCCTGTTTTGAAGTATTTGTTTTGACATCTGAAGATTCTGAACTGGATGTCATGACTTGTCTATGAGAATTTTGTTCTATAAATTTAGTTTCTTTTAAAGTTTATATATCTTAGTATTACTCTAGCTTAAAAGTACTTTATTTTTATTAAATATATCCGCAGTAATATTTAATATTTAATTTTATTTTTGACATTTAAATCTTGGAATTATGACCAATCCAACAGTATTCGTCCTTTTTGTTATTGTTAATGTATTGCATATGTCGATCCTATAATGTTGACTCCACGCGCACATTCCATTGTGGTTCCTTTATATACTCATACGGTAAATTCGAATAGCATGTGGTATCCTTCTTAGTGTCCATAAATTTCCTTAACAATACAATTTTTGCTTAACCACAAGTGATTGGAAATAGAATACAATAAAGTATCAGTAGTTGGCTTAGAAGCATTTGTCTTATGGAAGTTTGTGGCTAATATGACTGCGACTAAACCGCAAACCGCAGCGAAATCCCTTGTGCTGTGGAAAGGATAAGTGCAGCGCATTGTAGTCAGTAACCATTGCCGTTGCGTAAGGATAATGTGTGAAATTTAGCACAGAAAGTAACTTAAGGTGGCATGAAAACAACTTTTGTTCCCTGCAACTTTGTATTTTAAGGTTTTGAAAGCATTTTTGTTGTTATTTATTTTTCAAAATTCGTTTGCGTAGTTGCAACTCCACAAGAGTTGGTATAAATATTGTATCTTTTGGACTAAATTTAATAAATTTTTAACGTACATTCAGTTAACTGTGGTGATGCTGTTACCTAGTAACATTGCAAAGTGAAACTCTAAAACAATATAGTTTTATTTCAAGGTATTACATTTTTATGTGCACGTTTTGAAGTTTGTTTTTGTTACTGAAAAATAACAAAGTTTTCAGATTTACTTTATTTTATCCTCTTTACCTAACTAGGATAACAAAAAATTTTTGGGTTTTCAAAATAAAATTTATTTATGGAGCACATTTTTTTGGTGTTCATATAAGTTTCTTTGAAAATTGAAAACAATGCATAAATCTTTATATAAATTTTCTCCCCCGAAAGTTGCGTAAGATAGAATACACAAATAAAAAAAAAATGAATATGTAACGAATTTTGATCAATTTGTATTGGACTTCGACAGTTTATATAAGATTTTATTTTGTAATAGCTTGTATTCAGATCAACTTTTATATATTCTTATTGATACATATTGCACAGTAAAGATAAAAGCAAATATATAAATATTGGCAAATAATTTCATATTTGTCAATCTGGGACTTTTCTTCGCTTACTTCAAGAGTTGAATCCGTTCCTCTGTGACTTAAAAAAATAATTCCTATATTTAGAGTATATAGCAAAAAAATAAATTATGCTGAATAAATCACAACAAACATGACATGATCTCAGCACAGTCGCTGATGACCCTGACAGATGGAAAAAATTTATTTCTAATCTATGTTCTGCATAAGAGCGGTAAATATTCGAAGTATTAATAGTTTCTGCTTCGTCAGGATAATGATAATATTATGAAATGCATATAAATGTCTAACAAATAGCACTCAAAAAAGTCAACTGTCTTGTCACACAAATACACCAAAGTACTTTATACAATATTAACTCTTTTTTTATCGACAAGATTGTATATACCGCACAAACTATCAAAAAAAAGTCAAATTGTCTCTCCTGTCCAACATTATTCTGGACGTAATTATAGAAACAATAATTAGCTACTGCATCGTTATTACTTTGGGAGTTAATAGTTGACTTGAAGATAAAGATTGTGCCTTTCTTATAGACGATATCTTTAATTTCTTTTATAGGTCCGGCATAGATCATATGTCAACACTATATCTACTAACAACCGGCACTGTAACTACTGTCTTAAGAATCCATGTGAGCTTCCAAAAGTATTCCTCTTCAAAACAAAATTTTCGAATATTGTCATTCTCTGGGAGATATTCATAATATATTGCTACTGCATCGTTATTACTTTGGGAGTTAATAGTTGACTTGAAAATAAAGATTGTGCCTTTCTTATAGACGATATCTTTAATTTCTTTTATAGATCCGGCATAGATCATATGTCAACACTATATCTTCTAGTAATCGGCACTGTAACTACTGTCTTAAAAATCACTGTGAGCTTCCCAAAGTATTCCTCTTCAATGTGCAAAACCTTTAGTCAGTTAAAATACTTAACAAAATTTTCGAATATATTCATTCTCTGGGAAATATTCATAATATATTGAATTTAGCATATTAAAGTCAGTAAGGACAGAATAGAACCATTATGCAGAACTGAGTGAAAGAAACCTTGAATTTCACTAAATAATATTTAACAATACAGAGGAACTGGAAAGAACCACAATGTCGATCAAAACAAAAACGAAATTGTGTGAATTCCATTATGATTTGAATATCCATCTATTGTATTTTCCGTATTTTACTGCTCCTAATTATTTATAGATATACCAAGAATCGTCCAGTAAAAGATATCTTGGATATTACTAAATTCTAATACTCTAGAACAAACAGGAGTTGGAAAGAAACACAATGTCGATCAAAACACAAACGAAATTGAATGAATTCCACTATGATTTAAATATACATTACTGTATTTTCCGGATACTGCTTCCACTGTATACTAAGTATTTGTAGATATACCAAGAATCGTCCAGTGAAAGAGATTTAGCTTAAATAAAAAACTGATTGTTCGAACTAAAACCTATTTTGTAGTCCGCTTCATAAAACTTTACAATGAATACGTCACTCTTAAAGAAGACTATGTGACTGATTTAAGTCGATTTATGACGAAAATTAGAGATTCTATTAACAATCCTACTCCATGGGCGCACATTCATTTTTACATAAACTTGTGTAGTTAAAACATACATATTTAGGTGTTTGCTCCTACTCAGTGTCCTTTTTGGCAAAATGTCAATTAATTAACATTCATTTTGATTGTGATATAAAATTAATTTGTGGTTATAGTATATATATCCTACTACAATATATAGGACACAAGATTGTATTAAGTGCATATCTGTGCGTTTGTAGATATATACATACCGCGCTTTAAATGAGTTGAAGTTTATGCAATTATTCTCGATTGGCATTACATCTCTCGTACATTACATATATATGACATATTTATGTGTTACTTAGAAAATAATTTAATCAGTGATATTTTTGTTCTTTTCCAGAGGATGTGCGCTGACGAAAACCTTTCTTTTTGACACCTACTAATTGAACTTATTGGAAACGACACGAGCGTAAAATTCGTAGCTACAGGCAACAGTTCAAGATTTGTAGCTGTAGGTGGTTGGAGTTGCCAATAAAAAAATAATTGCAAATAACAAATGTTGGCTAAGGAACAGCTGCTATTAATAAGTTATTAAATGGCAAATTAATTTTACTTTAATTATGAATTATTATATTACTAATAAGTTTTATAGTTGCGTATGGACCAAAGGTTGCTTTACTATAAGCCTTTAAGCATACCGCATAATTGTCAATTCAGTATAATTCCAAAATTTGTCTAAATATTTATTAACATTCTTAGGTCTTCTAGTTTGTTATTAGCTCAAGTTAATACATTCATCTGTTTTTTTTACTGAATAACACAGCATTCGACCTACTACTGATAACGCACTAGCAAAGAAAATCTTATTATTATGCTGTTATCGTATTCTTTTACTATAGCTAATAGTATTAGATACTATATAATAATCTTGATGGACATTTTATACTAAATTTTTTTTCATATGTGATAAATTCTTTAAAACAAGTCATTTTAGTATACATTTTTCACTGCCGTTTGCGAGCACTAGCTTTGAGGTATCCCCGGTGCTAAAGAAATCCGCTAAAATTAATTATTATCTTTTTTTTACAATAGAATAGAAACTGTTTGCGAAGACTTGACCAAAATAAAGCTAGCCATATAGTTTATTCGAGTCAACAAAAATAATAATAATAGGTTTTTACATTTGAACAAAGCTGAACCATATCTGAATTTCATACTGGATTTTACGATTTTAACAACCAACTAATAAGGATGGGATTAAACGACGCTGTTACCTGCAGTTTGTGTGATATGCAGACTGAAAACTCTATTCTTCTAACTTACTTCTGTCTCCTACCACCAGAAAACGAGTCCAGCACCTACAAAATGGGTTTTATAGACTCGCATTAGGTCTGCAATTTTGAACCAAAAGATATAACAATAGCAGTGCAACTGCGACCGCTGCGGTTGTGGTAGTCGCTGTAGTAAATCAGTATTTTTTGTAAGCGTTAGTTGTAGAAGTATGTTTATTTTTATACACAAATAGAGATTCACACATATTTTTTTTTTTATTTTATTTTATTTAAATTTTGGGCCTTATTAGGCCGGGTTAATTTAACGGTCTTAGGTATAGGATAATAGATCTTAGAGATCGAGGTCGCTAGTGATGCTTTAAATAATAAATAAAAATAATTTAATTTATTTTTGAGTAGATTCTTTGTATATTGAGTAAATAAAAGACATGTTTTAATTCATTTATGTTATTGAAAGCATTGCTACAGAATATGTACATCTGTATAATTTTATTTCAATCTGTATTCTTAATTTTTTTATATATTACGAAAATAATGTTGCTGAAAAATGTGTATAATTTCTTAACATCAGATTTAATATTTAATAATTTTGTTACTTTCCATACAACTATAATTTTTGCTATCTAGTAACTTGCTATTATGCATGGATATCTCATAAACTTCATAAGAACTCGAACTAATGTTTAGGCAATTTTAATTTTTTTTTAAATTTTTTACTTGCAATCTACCAACAGATTACTTATTTATTTAGTTGGCCATTGCAGACGTGAGTTGTCCTTACCCGCGTAGAGTACGACTGCCAGTCGTACCTAAATTGTAGGCCATCTGTTTCTTCCATCAAAGAGGCAGATATTCTATAACATCCAACACCTTTCTAGTCGAACCAGTTTCGCTCAATCGTATGACATGAACAACAGGTACAGAATGATAATTTAAATAAATATTCAATAATAATATTGAATAATATTTAATAAAATTTACAGATATTTGCAAAATAAAATTCGCATTCAATTTTTTTGGAATTACCCTCGTTTATCTTATCCTAATAAAGACATTTCCCTTATACACTTTATTTGCGTCCTCATGAGATCTTCATTCTTAAGGTCAAAT